TAATAACAGTAGTAATAATAAATAGTTCTGGTCTCAGTCTGTAACGTTCTGGACGTACCTGAGAGGTAAAAAGAGGTTGTGTCTTTCAGAGAGGAAGTGCGTCTCGGCCCCCCTCAGCCCTGTGCTTCCTACAGATGTGGCTCCATGAGTAATGGTGCCGTGGGCCGCCGGCCCACCCTCATCGAACCCGAGCGTCTGAAGGACTTTGGCGAGGAGGACCTTCTGAACGGAGACGTGAGGTTCTACCAAACCAAAGTGGTGGAACCTCCTGAGATCAGGCTGATGGATCCGCCCAAAACCAGACGGGTCAGCGAGTTCCGGGTCGTCCCCAGACCTCCGGCTCAGTACCTGCGCTTCGAGGACATCAGCGCCGCGGCCTTCAGGATCCAGGCGGGGATACAGAAGACGCCGTGCACGGTACGCTGAGGTTAGAGCATGAGGCGTGTGACCTCTGACCTTCTCCAGGAGCAAACAGAGAAAAACTACGAGATGATTGAAAGATTTCTGTGAATTCACCTGCTTCAGTCTGAAACATGTTCTGTCTGCAGTTCTCCAGACTGTCCAAACAGTACGGCATGGACATGTACCTGAAGAAGGAGCACCTGCACTACACTGGTTCTGTGAAGGAGAGAGGAGTTCTGTACCTGCTCACCTCCCTCACACAGGTAGGTTCTGTTAGAGTGGGCGTGTCCTTCTGTCAGAGGTGTGTTTGATGGACACAGTTTCACCTGCAGGAGCAGCAGAGGAAAGGTGTCATCGTGGCGTCAGACAGCAGCTTCTCCATGGCCGTGGCTCACCACGGTGTGGAGCTGAAGATCCCCGTGTTCGTCATCATGCCCTCCTGCTGCTCCTCGCCACGCCTCCGCACCTACAGAGACTACGGCGCCATGGTCATCTCCTACGGCAGCGCTGGCCCGGACTCCCAGAACCACGCCCGACGTCTGGCCCAGGACAACGGCTACCTTTACCTGGAGGAGTGCGTCTGTTTTTATTTACCCAAAAACAAACTTCAGCTGTTTTTATAACTGAACAAACAGACTTCGGCTGTTTTTATAACTGAACAAACACACTTCAGCTGTTTTTATAACTGAACAAACAAACTTCAGCTGTTTTTATAACTGAACAAACACACTTCAGCTGTTTTTATAACTGAACAAACACACTTCAGCTGTTTTTATAACTGAACAAACACACTTCAGCTGTTTTTATAACTGAACAAACACACTTCAGCTGTTTTTAT